CTATGCTTTTCATTAGCTTTAAGCCATTATTTTAAAGATAAAAACAAAACAGTCATGATATATTTAACTTTAAAAGCAATGATTAAGGAATATATATACACGTACCTTTTGAATTGGATGATAAAAATGACTTTTTTAGGTTATTCAAACTTGTATTTTGGACCTCCTTATTCAAAGGCACAGTACCAAGGCAGGATTGACTGTTTGGATCAAGACTTTTTTTTTTTTTTTTGTCTGCATTGCTAAGAGCAAAAAATTTTGAAGAAATCCTTTACCTCAAAAACAACCTTGCCCCAAATGAAAATGTTGTTGCAGTGGTGATGGATTATTTCCACTATTTCCTTAACCCCAGCTGTTTCTAAAAGAGAGTTAACTCTTAGATCATGAAGTGTAATGAAACTAAAAGCGCACATCTAAGAAAAACACAAGCACTTTGACGCAAACTACAATTTTTTATGTGTCGGTGAGCCACAGTAAACTGTTGTTCATTCAACTCACAGAGGGTCTGCAGTAACTGATGTCCTTGTGCTGCTGCCTGTTGATTGTACGGTGGTCTCTTCTGTTCAATATTCATTGACCCGCTCTCACCTTAGGCTGCTGACAGTCTGACCCCACGTTGTCCACAGGGTTGGAGACACAGCGGGCAGGCCTGCAGGGCAAACCCATAGCAGGAGGTGGACAGTGTGTGTCTGAGAGAAGGCTGGCTTTACCTGTGTGCATTAGCCTGCCGAAGAGCAGGCGTGCGCTTCTAGGCAGTGTAAACAAACAGAGTAAAAAATTTCCATATGGCTCTCACAGGGCCAGCATGCTGTCTGTCTGCTCAAACACCTTCACAGCATCCAGCTGCACAACAACAGTGTGTGACAGTCAAACACACAGATATTTATAGTGCTTTTCCTCATTTGGGCAAACCGATCTGCACACACACCCATGAAACACACATGCAAGCACCTTTTATTGACTTTTGCACAAGAGCCAGATCGCTGCTCAACATCAAAAGAATTATTCATTTTTGTAGGGGAATTTAACCTGCTCCCTTCCACCTTTAGAGGCCAATTAGTTCCTGTAGTTTAATGAGCCTCGGCAGCATGTGAATGTTCCACATAATTAACACAAATGGCATTAAGCAACTGCATGACACCCGGCTGCATGTGGTGCAGAGTCTCTGTGAAAAACTGATCTCAAGTCAGTCAAGTTGACACCAGCCTGTGTTACATTGCATTAAACAATTCACACACACTGGAATCAAGACACGGAACGGATCACATTGACTTTTGTCTGACAGGCTGCGGGTGAGTGAGTGTGTGTACAGATTTGTCAGGCTACTGAGCGATGTGTGTGAGGATGTATGTTGTGTGTATCCGCGTGTGTGTGTTCGAGGTCCACAGAGAGGTGGTGTGACTGCGCTGACATGTGTCCAACAGTGTGGCTCGCTCCTGGGCCTCTCTCTCACACTCCACTGGCCTGGCTCCCCTGAGCTCCATGCATAATGCAGCTGGCCAGAGACACCGCCCCGCATGATAATGTATATGTGCATGCTGCTGCTGCTGTGTGTGTGTGTGTGTGTGTGTGTGTGTGTGTGTGTGTGTGTAACAGCAGGAGAGCTTGCTGGCGTGGCTGCTCAGAATAACAGTATGTGTATTTGTATGTGTGTGAGTGTGCTGTACAGTCAGCATGTAACCCACAGTAGTTTGCCCTCATACATGTTCCAGTGTATTTTTATTCAGCATTCATGGATGTAATTCTAAACGTCACCCAAACTGATTTATGATACATATATCAGAGCTGGCCTAAGGGGTATCATATTTTCAGGCGATAAGGCGCACTGTGAATCACCATGTCTATGATCACACATAAGGCGCACCGGATTGTAAGGAGCATTGATTGGTTGATTGTTGCTGGCGCGCATTCCGTGCCTGGGCTGCCTTACATAAATGCACGTCTTGTTTAGACATTACAGTCAGGCAGTCTTGAAGACTGCTCAGGGGTCTTGTTACGGGGCCGATCAGGTAGTGACACAGCGTACCATAATGCTCCGAATATCCATCAAGCGGAGCAGCTTCGTTGCTTACCAAAGTCATACTTACACATTTTGACAGATTTTTGAGCGCATTGTACCACTTACAATTGGTCAGTAAGTACAACAAGTAATCATACATAGGGCGTACTGTTAATTTTTTTAGAAAATTTGGGGGTTTCAAGTGTGCCTTTTAGTCCGAAAAATACGGTATATGACTTGACCAAAACTAACACAGCTGTCTAAAGCCACACACTGAAGATTAGAGGTGGATATTGCCAAAATGGCATCTCTACTTTCTTTGTAGACTCAAGTTTTAATCTGTTAGGATGAAGGTATACTTTTTGTTCAACCTTGCATTCAAGTACTCCCAACTGTTTATCAGTTCGTGTCGATCAGAATCATAATAATCAGAATACTTTATCTATCCCCAGGGGAAACATTCGGTCATTATCGTATTGCACTTGCTCTTGAGCATGGTCCTGCAGATGTTCGAGGACCTCAACTTCCTGAGGAGGTAGAGGCAGCTGAGGCCCTTCTTGTAGACAGCTTCAGAGTTCTTAGACCAGTCCAGTTTGTTTTTCAAGTACACCCCCAGATACTTATAGAGTTCCACAATGTCCACTCTGAACCCCTGGATGAAAACAAGGGTTACTGCTTTGTCCATCTCAGGCCCCGTTAATACGTATCCACTATTTTTAAAAAACTGAGACATTAACCATTGTTTGCACCTTTTGTTTAGACGCAAATGGAGAATTCGCCACTGAAAACTATGTTTTTTAAAAACTCTGTCCAGAGTGGAGATTTTGGGAAACTCTGTTTGCACATTTGCATGTAAACAGGAAAAAACTGCGATTTGGGTAGCTGACGGCAGATTGTGCACAGGAAAGACGGAAGAGACATTTTTGTGGTTGCTACTATGCAAGATTCTGATTGGCTAACCTGGGCTTGAGCTTGTTACAAATTTATCCATCACAGTCCTGTATTCAGACTCATCACCCTTCCTGGTGCATCCAACTATAACAGAGTCATCAGAGTACTTCTAAAGGTGGCAGGACTCTGTGTTGTAGTGAAAGTCCATGGGGTAGAGGGTGAAGAGAAAAGGTGACAGACCAATCCCCTGTAGAACCCCGGTGTAGCTGACCACTCTGTCTGGTAGTCAGTAATCCACGACACGAGAAGAGGTTTGACCTGCATCACTGTCAGCTTCTCGCTCAGTAGAGCCGCCCTGATGGTGTCAAAAGCACTGGAGAAGTCAAACAACATGACCCTCACAGTGCTTTCCGGTTTGTCCAGGTGAGTGTAGACACAGTTGAGCAAGAAGGTAAGGTGAAGGCATCCTCTACTCCCAGGTGGGGCTGGTGGGCGAACTGGAGCGGATCCAAGAGGCGTCGATCGTCGGCTTCATCAGTCTCTCCTGAGTCTTCATGATGTGAGACGTCAACGCCATTGCTCTTTTGTCCTTGGAGCTGTTGGGACATGGCGTCTTTGGAACTGAACCAGGCAGGATGTCCTCCACAGCACAGGGACTCTTTGAAGACTGAGGTTCATGGTGTAGATATGAGAAAGCACTCCACAGAGCAGGTTTTGAGGACTCTGGGGCCGACACCATCAGGGCCTGCAGCCTTGCATGCATGAAGTCTGCTCAGCTGCGCTACACTGCTGCTACGCTCAAAACATGCTTGACCAACAGAGCCGGGACGTGACAGCGACTGCGTGCATCACACATTTTTATTTACTTGTAACGACTACATGGGATGTTTAATTATGTTTTTTTTTAACATGCTTTTAGGAAGGCTGAAACTATATATCTCTGGTGAAGGTCGTGAAGTGTGAGTCCCAGTCCGGCCCTGCCATCATCGATTACACAAAGAGTTTAAAGAATTTGGGAAAAATCAAACTCCATTTTCATCAACATTTTACCTCGTGCTCCAAACTTTTTCGATTTTTGGTTGCATTTGTAATAGAGCAGATGTGTCTATAAAACACAGCTGAGGAAATATTGATTCATTCTTTATGGTTACATTACTCAAAACCAGAACAGTTTGATGATCAACTAAAACAATGAAACTCCATCATAATGCGCTAAAAACTGCGACTGAGTTGGATCACATGATTAATGCTGCGTTTGGTATCATTACGCTTGGATAAAAGATGGGGCCTTCTCTAAGGAACAAAGGAACAATTATCCCTGCAATAAAGGCTACAGCCAAGCAGAGAAATACACCAATAAGACCGGAATACAGTTTCTCACCGCTCCACATCCAGCAGTAGTGACTGTGGTCATTATGGCTATATATAGTTGTGCTGCTTGTGGCCTTCATTAGGCCTCTCATTTTGTGGTTGTAAAGGGCAGTGTGGCTCCTCTACGCTGCCCTTTTACTCAGTGGCACCATGGAGCGCTATGCAAAGGAGGACCCTGACTCTCCTAATAAAGGCCTTTATGTGGGCTGGAGGAGAAATGAGCTGCCAGGCCCGATTCGCACCATAATTGTTATGGCATCATTATGGAATGTCCTCTTTGGATAGCTTGGGATAATTAAATTCGCGGTAAAGGCGTCAGATATGCATAAGCCAAAAGAGTTGAAGGGTACTTTACCCCATTCGAGCCCATGTTTCAAGTCTGTCTGACATGTCCCCAGTGGATGATTTGACATCCGAGGCACTAAGTAGGCTGGCAAAGTGCCCCTGGCATCAGGGCACCCAGATGGACGTGGCTTGACCATGATCAAAGCTCACACACTGTCCTCCATCACCCTGAAGGGCACAACCGCAGGCGCATGGTCTCTTCTCTCCTCCCTCTCTCCTTGCGCCCACTATCTTGTCCAACTCCAAACAGAGAAGCAAAACAGGCGAAAAATAACACTCCAAGTTCCTGGAAATTTTAGCCACTGCAACATCAAAAATCTGATATAAAAGCAGAAGTGGGAAAGCAGGCTAGACTGTGCATTTCACAGCTATCAATAGTCTGGTATTGTCTCAGGCATGAGAGGAGGAGGGGGGGAGCAGATCAGAGAGCCGTGCCCAGTGAGGGCTCAGTCTGCTGGGGGCAATGCTTCTGGCAAACCCCCTTACCCCTGCTCTGACCTGGAGGATGCCCCGGCCGCTGCACACTCCAGACACAGTGGGGCAGAGAGGCCGCGCTGCATACAAACCAGCTGCTGGCTTCTCGGGAAGCTGCGCACAACAGCAGTGGAAAACAATACAGGAGTGAACCGCTGAAAATCTGAGATTTGGAACAATATCATGAGATTACAACCTGCATCTAGAATGATTCAATCAGGTTATCAGTCACATACAACTTTAACAAGAATATATATTTCAATAGCGAACATGTTACAGAGACTCATGATGCCATTTCCCTCACAATAGATACACAAAAATTAGTTGTAATTCTCACTAGACTGCAATACGAACATTAACTTTAAAGTTCTATGATTTTACAGATGTTTCTCTACAGGGTATGTGTGTTTGCTGATTTGTCAGATCTGGTAACAGAGCACAGCAAAAGCCAAAGCAGCCGCAAATGTAAAAAGTGCAAAATTAAGAATGGGCATATCCTTTAGACATTCTGACCATCCGGCTACAACAGTACCAAATTTTAATCCTTTGTTATTTAAAATTATCATAGAAAAATACTTATTGGATTAGATTTAGTTTTTAATGTATTGATCCAGCAGGTATGCAGCAAGATCTGTGATTTTGAGCCTAACTTTGTTGGTTTTTGGCAACAGAAATACCTTAAGAGATACATCGCAAATATGTTTTCTGTAACTTCTAACCAGTACAGACCACCACTTGTGCCATTTTTCTTCACATTGTGTAAAATGTTGTTTATATAAACCCATCTCTGGTGAAAGACAAATAAACAAAGTCCTTCATGGGCGAAAGATCTGACATGTTTTAAGTATAGGGTAAAAAACTAACTGAAAATCATGAGATGAAAATGTTAAAATATGAAATAAAAAGTAGGAATAAAGATAAAAATATAATGAAAATTTGATGTAAGAAGACATAAAAATGTGATAAGTAAATACAACTATGTAAAAAGAACTAATACTATGAAATTAAAGGTCAGGATTAAACAATAAAAAAGTCATGATTATGAGACTAAAGTCACAGCTGTGACACAAATGGTTATGAGATAAAACCTTGAAACTGAAAAAAAGAACATCAAAATCGTGAGACAAAAATTCTGAAGTATGGGACAAATTGGTAATAACATGCCAGCCATAAAAAGTCATAACTATACAAGTCATGATACAAGTCAAAGTCATGATTATGAGATTTAAAAAAAAAACATTCATGTGATAAGAGGTTTAGTCATTAATATGAGAGTCATTTATATGAGAGAATAAAAACTCATCTGTGTTAGGAGTCGGGCTGATGAGATATAAGCAGAAAGTAATGTGCTGTGAGTTTTAATAGTGGAATAAAAAAGTCTGTGTTAAAGAAAGTAGAACGTATCTTCTCATTTATATGACTTCCTGTCCCAAATTTTGACACTTAATCTCATGTCAGCTTGTTTCTCATAATTCTAGTATTCATTTCTCACTACTACCACTTACTCTCTTGTGACCTCAGATTTGGGGGGTTTTCTCTTGCATGTAGGCTGAGTTTTTACTTTTTATTTTCTCTAGCAGTAAAAAGCTTTACGTGTTGTCCGAAAGCCTGAGAGACACCAAGGTACAGGAACAGCAAGCTGGTAGAGGAGAAAAGCTCATCTCTCACAACAGTCAAAATTCAGCTGGTATCAGTTTCCTGCTCTTCTTCCCATGCTGTGAATGATGGGATATAAGCTGCTTCCGTGTATCTACATGCTGAGCTGCTCCTCGTAGCGTGTCATGTCAGTCACTCCAGTTGAGGCAGGGAAATGGCAGTGACAGGCCTGTACCCAGGTGTCTGAGCCTGACTGGTCCCATTATTAGTACAGTCCTGGACTCTTTTAACAAGGCCCAGTGTATGATCGCTCTGCTCTGTCGTGACACAGCCCCCACCCCCCTCCACCCTCCATCACAGGGGCCCCCTGGAGTAGCCGGGAGACCCCTGACCCGTGGGCTCGACACTTCCTGAAATGCCACGCTGCTCCGGAGACCTTTCGACTGCGCTGACTTGTATGAGGAATCAATCACCCGCTTGCTGTCTGGCTCCGCTGGATCAACTCACCACCAGAGACACAACAGCGATTGACAAGCAGGTTTACAGTAAAGCAGCTGTTGAAAGACTTTGGCTTTAAACACAACATCAAGAGTCTGTGTCATTGCTGATGAGTGAAGAGAAAAGAACAACCGTCTGTTTTCGATCAATAAAAGCTCTAAATTATTCGATGTATTTGGAGTATTTCATTGCTGAAGAGGTAATATGTGTTTATCAGGAATGGATATTGCATTTGTTGCAATGTGTTTTATTCCACCTAAAAAAAAGGACTGAATCTGGAGACACTGATGATTTTTTTTTCTCTTTTTTTTTTTATTGGAAACTGCAGAAATGATTTTTAGTCGTAGCTTTAATCCAGAACACTCCGTCTGAAAAAAAGTCTTCAGACCCCCCGTTGGTCAAACTTTTGTAGTTTCTCCACATTGACTCAATTCACCCCTTCTGCTTCCCCTCCCACAATACCCCGACCCTAACTCCCCCATGTGGCCCTGCTCAGGAGGAAACCAACAGTGGACTCCAGTGAACTCCACTGCCCCAACCCCCCCCTCATCCTCCTTTGCCTCTCCAGCTTCCACTTCTGCCCAACCAGCCAGCCGCCGCATCGATTTCATGTTTGGGCTGCCCACATTGATTTTCATGCAGGTCCATGAATCACACTGCTGCTTCCTCCATCTCAGTGGTAAAGTGGGAGGCCAGGAAAATCAGCTTTGACAGTTGCTGCACAGAGATGCTGCAAAATGCCCCTGCAGCCTAAGCTTGTTCCTCTTGTACCTTTTGTACGGCTTCACTCGGCACCTTAACCTGTTTACTCTCCCTCTCCCTCAAGTTCTTTAACACAAGTAAAACCATCTTCAGAGACAGCCTCTCATCGGTACATGGAGAACATCAACTAAACAGCAGTGGTGACAGAGTGGTGACTGTCTCACTTCAAAAATTGTTCCTTTGCATTGTCTCGACGGTCAAGTAGACCATATCTGTTACATTCATTACTGTTGAGTAGTGTTGGGCGGTATGACGGTATATACTGTGTGTCTGTATATAAGTGTCTACCAGTAGAAATTTTGCTATAACGTTTATAACGGAGAGCCAGAGCAGATGTCTGCTGCATCTTTTTGAGTCAGTGTGTAGTTGTCTGCGCTTGCTAACAGGAAAGCCGGAGCGCATCAGTTTGGGTGCGTTTCCATATATTCACCAGCGTGTCCAGCAGACTGCTTGGCATAGTTTCGACGAAGAAGAAAAAGCTTCACTGGTGGTGGTCGTGGAGATTAGTGGCAGTACCGAGCAAATGGAGGCGGCCCAGCCCACCCAAACATGAGGAAGAAGAGGAGGAACTCATCCTGAAAAAAGGGCGTGAGTCGTGACATCGGTTGTCTGGAGATTCTTCGGATTTGGAAAATCTGACAATGATCAAAAAACAATACTATGCAAAGAGTGTCGTGTGGCTGTCGTCGCTGGAGGTGGAAAGACCAGCAACCTCTTCCACCACCTAAAGATGAAACACGCCAAGCTCTATTATGAGAGCCAGAAGATGTGTGGCGCAGCTCCTCTCATACAAAAGAGCTTGGCAGAGTCTTTCGCCAAAGGTACGCCGTATGATAAAAAATCGCCAGACTGGATTTGGCGATTTTGTTTGCATTAGTTTACAAATCAGAGTTAAAAAAAAAAAATAATAATAATAATTGAATTTACTGGGGAAAAAACACACTGTGGTATATACCATTACCGTGATATGAAATTAATCATATCATGATATGATTTTGTTCACACCCCCCAAACATTACTGTTGAGTCAATAACCCAAACAAAATTTTGGATTGATGTCAACAAAAATACTCCGGACACTTCAAAATCTAATGGCCACGTAACAAATCCAGCCTGATAGAGTCAGTTTTTTCGCAAGAATGAAGATTTCACAAATAAATTGACGCTTCCTAAATCAAGTATGGTCAATTTATATCAAACTCGCCTTATAAAAAAAAAAAAAAAAAAAAAAAGATCCAAGCTGTCTGAGTTGGTCACAGCCCTCATAACCTCATTTTCAGGTATATTTAAGTAGTAAGAAATGGACCCAGTTTTACAAAAACACTAGTTACGGTCTGTTGTATAATTCTTTAAGCTATGTGTATGCCCCTGCAGCCCCCCCAGTGTCTCCTTCAGGAGCTCACACACCAGCAGACAGGAATGACGTTTCCCGTATTCTTGTTGTCGGCTTTACAAACATATACGTGAAGGAGTGTGTGCGGGTGACCTGAGAAAGTGGCAGAAATGTCACACACTTCATTTGTGCGGCAGTAAAAAGCCCGGGTGTCTGGGGAGCCATCGATCTGACAAGTTATTACAGAGGAGGGGAGGCAGGAGGAGGCAGGAGGAGGCCATCAGGAGCATGACACCGACAACAGCTGGGGATACCTCTCTCTCTCTCTCTCCTTCTCAGTCTCTTCTCCTTCCTTTTCTTCTTGTGTGTCACAGTTGTCCCCCCCCAAATAAAACACACACACTCTCTCTCTCTCTCCTTTTTCTCTTACTTCTGTCAGTCTTCTCACTTTTTCCTCCTCTCCTCTACCTTTGACACCCACCTCGCTCTAACTCACTCTTCTGTGTGTGAGTGAGAGCACTCGCTTCAGCTTTCAGTCTTAACCTCTCTCACTTGTCCTTTTACCTCGTTCCCTCTCTTCTTCTCCACAGCTTTTCGTCCTTTTATAAATCTTTTATCAGACTTTCTCTTTTGCTGAATTTAACTCACTACAGCCAGAAATGAGTTACATCTCCACTCCGTCTGTATTCTCTTTTTGCACCTTAGGTCGTACTGCTTTGAGGTCTTTTTGCACCTGACATTAGTAACCTCGGACCCCACTATTGCAAAAGTTGGGGTGTATTTCATTATTTAGGAATTCAGTTGTCAGAATGGAGCTCCTTTTTCAGAAAGCACACCTCAGGATGTGATTTCTGAAACTAAGTAAATTGAAGATTAAGAAAAATCTCTTTGGGTTAAAACTACAAACTAAAATTTCTGCAGGAACAATTATGCTTTGTTCCAGTTGTACTTGGAAGTCGCAATTTCCGAGC